GGGGCTTGACGCCACAGCTCTGCACCTCGTCCACCTCCTCGGACAGATCGCCCGCCGGTGACGCCCCCTCCGCCAACACCTGGACCTTCTGACAGAAAGAGAGAGAGAGAGAGAGAGAGAGAGTGAGAGAGAGTGAGAGAGAGTAAGGGGTGAGACAGAGAGAGAGAGAGAGGGAGAGAGAGAGAGACAGAGAGGCAGAGAGAGAGAGAGAGAGAGACAGAGAGAGAGAGAGACAGAGAGAGAGAGAGAGAGTAAGGGGTGAGACAGAGAGAGAGAAGAGGGCTAAGACCAGTTAAGATCAATTAAATTCAAACTATTTTACCTAATCCTGTCGTAAGAAATCAACGAGAATATTCGGCTAAAATACGTTAATAAGCATGACAGGCAGACTTCCTGTCGGCGATACAGATAAAAAATAAACAAACTAAATGTTTTCCAGTTATTCAAGAGGGAAAAAGTACGATAGTGTGGTCATAAGACAAAAATCAGCTGACTTACAGGCATTCACACACAGGCGAGAAACAGCCAGTCATCACACACACACACACACACACACACACACACACACACACACACACACACACACACACACACACACACACACACACACACACACACACACACACACACACACACACACACACACACACACACACACACACACACACACACACACACACACAGTGGAGGAAACAGCTTTAAACGGTTTATAAGTTCAAAGAATAATCTCTTGTAAAACAAAACAAACGTCTCTTTCTCTTAAATCAAACTTTTCTCAAACTTACAAACTTCAGAGGATGAACATTATTCTGGAGTGTCGTCGTACATGTAGGTAACGCGAGTAACGCAAGTAACATGAGTCACGTGAGTTAAAGGCAGGGTTGGTTATTTTCAAAAACTACCATGATTTAGAAAGTAGCATTCCCTCAGTGCTGAGTCTACACCCCCCCCTCTGTGATCCCTCTAAAGCCACGCCCCTCACTTACATCCTGCCTTTAAGTGAATAGCATTCTAAACGTGAATAACGAAGGTAACGTGAGTAAAGTAAATATTGTGAGTGACATGGGTACAAGAAAAACTAGAGTTACGTGAGTTACGCAAGTAATACGAGTTACGCAGGTAATGTGAGTAAAGTAAGTTACGCGAGTTACATGAGTAATGTGAGTTATGCGAGTTACGTAAGTAATGCGAGTTACGTAGGTAATGTGAGTAATGTGAGTTACGTAGGTAATTTGAGTAATGTGAGTTACGTAGGTAATGTGAGTAATGTGAGTTACGTAGGTAATGTGAGTGATGTGAGTTAAGCGAGTTCCGCAAGTAATGCAAGTTACGTGAGTAATGTGAGTTACGTAGGTAATGTGAGTAATGTGAGTTAAGCGAGTTACGCAAGTAATGCAAGTTACGTGAGTAATGTGAGTTACGTAGGTAATGTGAGTAATGTGAGTTAAGCGAGTTACGTAAGTAATGCAAGTTACGTAGGTAATGTGAGTAATGTGAGTTAAGCGAGTTACGTAAGTAATGCAAGTTACGTGAGTAATGTGAGTTACGTAGGTAATGTGAGTAATGTGAGTTACGTAGGTAATGTGAGTAATGTGAGTTAAGCGAGTTACGTAAGTAATGCAAGTTACGTGAGTAATGTGAGTTACGTAGGTAATGTGAGTAATGTGAGTTACGTAGGTAATGTGAGTAATGTGAGTTACGTAGGTAATGTGAGTAATGTGAGTTAAGCGATTTACATAAGTAATGTGAGTTACGTGAGTAATGTGAGTTATGCGAGTTAAGCGAGTTACGTGAGTAATGTGAGTTACGCAGGTAATGTGAGTAATGTGAGTTACGTGAGTAATGTGAGTTACGTAGGTAATGTGAGTAATGTGAGTTACGTAGGTAATGTCAGTAATGTGAGTTAAGTGAGTTACATAAGTAATGTGAGTTACGTGAGTAATGTGAGTTACGTAGGTAATGTGAGTAATGTGAGTTAAGTGAGTTACATAAGTATGTGAGTTAAGCGAGTTACGTGAGTAATGTGAGTTAAGTGAGTTACATAAGTAATGTGAGTTACACGAGTTACGTGAGTAATGTGAGTTATGCGAGTTACGTGAGTAATGTGAGTTATGCGAGTTACGTGAGTAATGTGAGTTATGCGAGTTCCGTGAGTAATGTGAGTTATGCAGGTAATGTGAGTAAGGTAAGTTACGCAAGTTAAGTGAGTTATGTGAGTAATGTGAGTTATGTGAGTAACGTGAGTAATGAGAGTTATGCGAGTAACGTGAGTAATGAGAGTTAAGCGAGTAACGTGAGTAATGAGAGTTAAGCGAGTAACGTGAGTAATGAGAGTTATGCGAGTAACGTGAGTAATGAGAGTTAAGCGAGTAACGTGAGTAATGAGAGTTAAGCGAGTAACGTGAGTTATGCGAGTTACGTGAGTAATGTGAGTTATGCGAGTTCCGTGAGTAATGTGAGTTATGCAGGTAATGTGAGTAAGGTAAGTTACGCAAGTTAAGTGAGTTATGTGAGTAATGTGAGTTATGTGAGTAACGTGAGTAACGTGAGTAATGAGAGTTATGCGAGTAACGTGAGTAATGAGAGTTAAGCGAGTAACGTGAGTAATGTGAGTTACATGAGTTACACGAGTAACATGGGTTGTGAGTAAAGGCTAAATCCTGGTATGTTTGAACGGGATTAGTCAGAAAATCATTTTAGGACCTTTGAAAAAACACAAATCTAAAGCAGGCTGAGAGCAGGAACAACAACCAGGTGACTTTAACTGAAAGAACTAATAACGTGCTCGTCCTATTAAAAAAAGGAGCAGTAACTTCACTCACAGTTTCTCCCCCGGCAGGACTCACCCTGTCTGTCTTCTCCTCAGGGGGGTCGGGACCGGATGACACCTCTGCCATTGCAACTCTGAGCAAGGAGTCGAACAGAGGAACGGCGAGGTCAGAGTTCACCACCCCAGAGCGAGAGAGCTGCTCTCTCACCTCGAACAGAGTCTCCTCCACCGACTGCAGCTGAGGACGCAAAGACAAAACGGTTACACTGAACACAGTGAGAAGACAGAGTTCAAACCCTAACCCGAGAGGACCGGGGCTCCAGGAGACACTACAGAGTTCAGACCCTGACCCCGAGAGGACCGGGGCTCCAGGAGACACTACAGAGTTCAGACCCTGACCCCGAGAGGACCGGGACTCCAGGAGACACTACAGAGTTCAGACCCTGACCCCGAGAGGACCGGGACTCCAGGAGACACTACAGAGTTCAGACCCTGACCCCGAGAGGACCGGGTCTCCAGGAGACACTACAGAGTTCAGACCCTGACCCGGAGAGGACCGGGTCTCCAGGAGACACTACAGAGTTCAGACCCTGACCCGGAGAGGACCGGGGCTCCAGGAGACACTACAGAGTTCAGACCCTGACCCGGAGAGGACCGGGGCTCCAGGAGACACTACAGAGTTCAGACCCTGACCCGGAGAGGACCGGGGCTCCAGGAGTTTTGTTGTGTGTGTTAAACGTTAAAGTGTTTGTTGTGATATGTTGAACATGGCGGTAAAGACTCAAACTGTGTACCTGATAAGACAGCTCAGGCTCGATCCTCTGCAGGGTCGAGTTAGCGCCGTGCAGACAGATCGCCAGCAGGGCCTCCAGGAGACGAATACTCTGGAGCTGCCACTCCTCCTCCAGCTTCTTTGCAGGATCTTTGGTCTTTCCCTCAGCCGGACCCAGAGCCTCGCCTGAGCCTGGAGACATGTCCTCCGGTCCCAGAGAGGCAGGCGGGGCGCTGGACTCTGGGCTGCCTTTGCCCTTCCCCTCCCTCTTCTTCTTGGCTTTGCCATCTTTGGGCTTACAGGAGAGTTTCTGGATGACCATGGCCATGAGGCGCAGGCAGACGTCCAGCCCCCCGAGTCTGAAGAACTGCCTCTGGAACAGGGGGCTGGCAAGGTAGATCCAACGACACACTGACCACACATCTGCAGCGCGGCGGACCTGCTCCTTAGAGGGCAGGGCCACGCTGTCCGGGGACAAGTAAGGCAGGCGCCCGCCCAGCGGCTCGCTGGCCGTGCTGTCATATCCGGAGGTGTCCTCCGAGTCGTTGGCCGAGTCTCGGTCCGACTCGGCCTCTTTGCTGACACACAGGAAGGCCACACACAGGAACAAGTTGATGACATGGAGGTGGGTCCCCGCCCGGCTGCGGCCCAGTCCTCGGCCCTGCCCACCGCGGCTCTTATGACGTGGGTACACCTCCTTAAGACCTTCATAGAATTTGCTGAGGCTCTGGGGGCCCTCTCCGGACCCTCGGGACCCCAGCTCCTCAGCCAAGCCCAAGATGGCCTCCCTTTCTTCTGCATCCAAACTCTCTAGCTCCTGAAGCAGTCCGTCAGCCTGCAGTCGTCCACCCCCGATGATCAGAGTCTCAAACACCTTCAGAGCCAGAGAGCGGGTCTGGTCCAGGTAGAGCAGCTCGGTCACCTGGTTCAGGCCGTTACAGCTGACGAAGAGATCCCGGATCACCCTGTGACGGGAAGAAAACCAGGGTCAGAAAAAGCATGTAAACATGACTCTACAGGATCTGAGCTTTAGACCAGCTGGGTCAGCACTCCCTGCGGCCCTTTGACCCCTGACCAGTGTCTACCTTTGACAGAAAAAGAACAAAAACCTTTATTAAATGTTCATGTTTTATTTGACAAAATCACTCTGACATCTCTCCATTAGTGCATGTCCATAGGATCCTGTTTGTGTTCATGTTCATTAAACAGAGCGTAAAACTGAAACTGCAGCTCAAACAGTTTTTATTTCAGAGAAAGGATCACGACTATGGAGAAAATCTAATGATGGGGAACAAACCAGATGTCAGTGTTCTTCCTCCTCCCCTAACCCTCCATTAATATGTGGATGGACCAGCAGATGGAGCCGTAGAGTCGAATGAGACTGAACAGGAAGAAACTGGAGGACTCTGCCTCATGTTTCTCTCCCTCTCTGCCAACATGGTGATCACAGCGTGTGTTTGTGTGAAAACTTGAAGGAATGCGAAAATAGTTTATGAAGTGAGAGCTCTCTGACGGACTGAACCTTAAAGTTTCAAACATGAAGGTGAGAAGTTTAAACTGTGTTTAAAAGAAGCTGACAGAGCGCCTCAAAGCATCTCATTGTCCACTTTCTGCACCAACCACATCCTGTTGGGGTCAACCGATCCAGGCATGCATTGGGGCAGGTTATCAGGGTGAACACAGCTGTGCAGTGTTTTAGATTTATTCACTATGTCCGAACAGTTCTTCATCAAGACTGACAACAAAGATATAAGTTTATATTTAAGTATTGACCTTTGACCTTTGATATCTAAGTGTTTATAATATATTATCTGTGGTCTAAGGTCTTGCTATCAGTACTGGACTTTGCATTACCTAACAGCTTCCACGTCTCCGTCAGTCAACAAAGCTTTGATGAATTATTGATCATCATTAATTATCTCTGAACAGATCTGATGACCCACATGGATCAGGTGTCTGCCAGCTCAAGACCTTCTTACAGAGTCTATCATCCTGGACTCCACCCTCTCTTTACACCCCCACATCTAATATGTCTCTAAGACCCTCATCCTCGCCTCCATAACCTCCAGTCAGGACTACTGGAGCAGAGTCCTGTCTGTAACCAGCAAAGTCCTGAACAGGATCTAATACATCTAAAACTCTGCTGCCAGAGTCCTCACCCAGACCTGGTACCTCATCACCCCAACCTTCATCCAGCTCCACTGGCGCCCAGTTAGATCCAGAATCAAATCCAGAATACTCTCTTATGACCCCCCCCAAACCTCCAGTCCACAGACCTGCTGTCCATCCCTCACACCAGACTCTGCACCTATGGAGACAGGGCCTTCAGGGTCACAGCCCACCATCCTCTGGACCCCCCTCTTTATCAGACCTCCTCACTGCCTCTCCATCCTCTGCTCCCTCCCCCATGAAGAGCGTCCTGAGCTCTTTTAAGTATTAGTCACAGCTGCTTCATGTCAGACTTCAGATCTGATCTCAGGTTTGTGTCCCAGATTAAAAAAAGATCTTTTAAACTTTCTCACTGAGTCATGACATCCTCTCTACACACGATGCTTCAGGTCCAATAAGAATAAACCTGAGCTCAGCGTCTCTTCTCCTCCATCTTCAACAGCAGGCTGTAACGTTACTGATGTTAACTTTCTGAATTAAGTTTGGATCAAAACAGACACGATGACATGAAACACTGACGAAGATAAGTAAACACACACACACTGAAATATCAACACTGAAACGTCTGCGAGTTCAAGAAAAACGATCCAAACGTGTTTTGAAAATGCCGTTCTGGTTTGTTCAGAGGGTCTCGTGCACAGGGGTTAGGGGTTAGAACTCTCTTAAAACAGATCATCAGTGTGCTCACCTGGACTTGAGGAGAGCGGGTAACGTCTGCAGGTAGACGAGCAGCACGTCCACGGGGAGGCAGCGGCTGTGGTAGCTGCAGACCTGCGTGCACACCGTGGACACGCCCAGCTGCTGGGCGTGGTGAGCTAGTTCCACCCCCCTCTGCAGCACCGGGTTGAAGATGTGCGTGTAGAGCTGCCACTGCACAACGGCGTTCCCCCTCAGGGTCAGGTGACACACGTGTCCCGCTATCTGCTGGCTCAGCTGCCAGTCCTCGCCAAACACCAGCTCCTGGTACGCCTCCAGAGCGTCCCATTTCCACAGCATGTCCTCCGCTCCCCCCCCGCTGGGCAGGATGCCCTGTGAGCGGTAACACAGACTGGGCGTGACGGCGTGGTCGGCATGCTGCAGCGTCTCCTCCAGCCCGGGCAGCTGGCTGCTGTCCAGCGTGCAGATGTTACAGGACGCCAGTTTAGCTTTCTCTGACGGCTGGCCGCCTCCCAGCTGCTCCAGGATCAGTCTGCTCAGGACGCTCAGGACGTGAGTCTGGTAGCTCTGCAGACCTGGAGCCTGGAAGGCGTGCAGCAGGGGGCCGACCACCGAGCGAGGGTCCATACAGCAGCAGATCCCAACGGCCTGAACGCCAGCCAGGACCTGCAGCACGGCGGGCCCGTTAGGAGAGAGCGTGTGCAGCAGACGCAGACACTGATGAGCGCACGCCGCCAGGCAGCAGCAGCGCTCCGGGTAACGCGCCGCATCTCCCTCCAACCCCTCCTTACCTTCTCCGGCCTCTTCGAAGGGGTTTCGTCTCGCCGCCTGTTTGAAAGCAGACACGGGAAGTCCAGACAGGTCTCTGTGGTGATGCAGGAAGTGGGAGTACTCACAGCGGCGGTGGCGGCGGCGTGCGCACACAGACTGATGCAGTTGCTCAGACTTTGCCTTCTTCACAGCACTGATGATCTTAAAGACACCTGCGATGAGTCCCAGCAGCCTCTCTGAAGCCTCGCCCACCACCTCACAGTCCCTGGCCCCGCCCACTCCCTCCAGCCGCAGCACGGTGACCTCCAGCAGCTCCAGGCCGCGGTGCTGGATGAACTCGTGGATGAGCTCCAGCGCCTGGCTGAAGAAGAAGGGGTTTGGAGTGGAGGCCTGCAGGCAGCCCAGCAGAACCTGCAGGACTCCTTCGAGGAGCTCGGGCAGCAGCAGCGCCCGGTGGCGATAGCGAGAGAAGGAAAAGTCCTCCTGGACTTCCTGCAGGGTCTTTTTGGGCCGGGGGGCGAAGGGGTCGTTCTGTCTCTCCAAACAGCTGCGGATCTTCAGCGTGGCTCGCAGCAGGTCGGTCAGGCTGCGTCTCAGGCTGTCAGGGAGACTCTCACACTGACTCACATCCACAGACATCAGGTGCAGGACGGTGCGGAGCAGCATCCTCTGGACCAGCGCGATGGGCTCCTCCGTCCAGCCTCCAGCAAGTTCCTCCGCCCCTCCCCCCCCTCCCCCTGCACCCCCCCCCGGGCCGCAGCAGTCTCCAAACTCGGTCAGGATCTCGGTGAGAGTGGGCACCACGCTGACGGCGAGGCTGGGGTTGTGGTTGATGCTCATGTCAAACTTACACACCTTCTCCAGCAGGGAGAGCAGCACGTGGCAGAGGTCAAAGGGCGAGTTCTCCATGCGGTTGAAGATGGAGATCGCAGCCGGGTCCGTCAGGGTTTCACTGTCGGCCATGGTGGACCCGGTGGCCCGTGCGTGTGGGTACGGAGCGCTCATGGTTTCTGTCGCTGTGGGGGGGGCAGTGGGTGCTAACTGCAATGGCTCTGAACGATGATGCTGACAGCTCACTCTGAAGGTGGAGCCGTGTGAGCGTCTGCTGCGTGCGCCGCCGGGGGCGGGGCCAGCTTTGTCTTCAACGTTTGCTTCTGAATCTGAGGTCGAGACCTGAGACCGGCGTGCATCTTTTACGGAGTATCTCTGCGCCGTCCTGCGAGACCTCCGGGACTTCCAGGTTCCACTGCCAACGCGGGACCTCTTCCCTGAACTCTGCTCATCTGCGGGGGCTTTCTGTCCTGCCCTGAGGGGGGCGGCCTTCACCTCCCGGCTCAGGAACACCTCCAGTAAGGACGGCAGGGTGAAATCTGTAAACACAAAAACATCTGTCAGTCTTACACTTCTATCAGACTACCAGCGACGTCACACAACTTTTTGAAGCGTCTCATTGGCTAAATATAATTCATACTTCAGTTTAACATCAGTGAGTTAGAGCTCTGCAGCTGATCACTGTTTGTTCAACTCCCTCAGAGAGTTAGAGTAAATTAAAGAAGAAATGTGTCGAGTGTTTGTCGGAGAGCATCAGCAGCTCAGCTCTAAATACCCGAGTCGTCCCGAGGTCATCCTGAGGTCATCCCGAGGTCATCCTGAGGAACCTGCAAACTGCCGGTCTGCTCTGCTTTGTTTGTTTGTTTCATCACAGAGCCTCTGATGGCGTCACCATATTAAATCCTCGACATCAGGAGCGAGCACGGCGTGCAAATCGAGTTTGAATCGTCACTTGAATAAAGATGAGTCATCGAGAAACCCAGCAGATATTACTGATATGAAACCTGTTTGATAACACGAGTCCTACACCCGGTGTGTTTGGATATTTAAGACGGTCCGACTCATATCGTCTAAAGTGACGCTGCGTTCAGCTGGGACGCTCCGAGAAGCTGACACAGTCTGCAGGACAATCTGAGAGGAGCCGACAAGAACAACTAAAGAGCAACACAAGAGACCTCACAGCTGATCAGAGTAAAGAACATAAAGACTGAAGGACTGACCCGGGGCTTTCTCCTCTTGGACCGGGATCTTCCAGACGAGCGGCAGCAGAGACAGCAGCAGAGTGAGCAGCTCCTCCCGACACGTCAGCTCCTGTAGGGGAACAAAACAAACACACACTGAGGAAGGTCACCTGAGGAAGGTCACCTGGGGAAGGTTACCTGGGGCGGTCCTGACTTTCCTGTCAGGTCTCAGAGAATCCAGCGGTCTGCGGGGCGTTAGCGCTCTGTGTGTTGATCTGTGTGTGCAAGCAGGTCGGCTCGTCCCCGCTCAGAGTAATGTCACATGTATATGACGGCCGGCGTTCTAAGAGCTCCATCAGGAGCATTCCTCACAGCTGGGAGAGAAACGACTCCTTCAAGTGATAATTAAAAAGCACCAATGTCTCCTTCTCCTGAGCGCAGGAAACAGACTGTGATGGGAACTGTTATGTTTGTAGTTCCACAAATCACCAGTAGGAGAATAAGATCAGTTTCTTAAAGGTCATGAGACATTAAAGCTAGTGACTGAGGATGGACTCACTCTTCCTGTTTATTCGACTAAGCCGCCCTGGACTCATGACGCTCTGCGATCGTGGTCGTTTGAGACACACCTGACTGTGACGTCTGGTCGTTTAATATACTGAACACCGTCCTCTGCTGGAGAATCTCTTTGGCAACCTGTAGGCGTGCTGAACTGTTGGGACTGATGTGTGAAAATTGTCTGTGTGGCGCTGGGACGGTTTCAGTGAGTCTGGATCGCTCTTCTGGGATGAATCTGGAAACATAACGTAAACGGTGACATTGTTCTCCTTTATCATCGCTCTGGGAATGCCTCTTGTCCAATCAGATTGCTTGGTCAGAACTAACTGATGAAGCAGGAAGTGAATTCTTGTTATCTGAGTCATGAGCTCAGGTGGTGAGCAGGGCGGGAGGGTTTAACAGCTCAGTGTTACAAACAGGACTTTAAATGAATCCTCATGGAGAGTCATCATTCTGAGATGTTCTATCGCTGGATTTAAAGCATGAAGAGAGTCAACAACACTTGGTGTGAGTGAAGGTTAGACTCTGCAGCTGGAGTTTGCAGTGACCGCTCACATTAAAGCTCCCGCTAACAAAATTTACATGTGAAAGTGGGATGTTGTCACGCACGGCCACTTCTTTTACAGTAAATGAACTTGGTGTCACATGAGCCTGACTTCTGTTTTTAATCCTGTTTCAATCCTGATTTTTAAAGTTCTGGTGTCCCACAGGGATCCATTCTGGGTCCTTTTTCATTCAGCCTAATTCTAAAGTAGCAGAGAGAATCACTCCCATGATTCCCCACCGGCCTCCAAGTCTCCTTTTGTTATTGATTTTGATTAAGAGCCCCCTGGTGGCAGAATGTACATACTGTGCATTTAAAATCAGAGCAAACAAAACCTGCGCCTGTGAGACAATTTCAGTTAACACGAGCGCTCAGGATTTGCTTGGCGTCGGTTTGTTATTCTGATTCAGCCTCATTTGGATCTTTGTATTGGCTCTAGTATTAAAATCTATCTGACTTCTACTTTTGTATTTGTCTTCTGATTTAAGCAGTTTCTGTCTTTAAGTGTCCAAAAGTTAAGCGAGCATGATGTGAGAGAACATGCTATCGGTGACGTCTGTGTGATATTCTCTGCTTTGATGGCGTGCTCTCAGTAAACGATCCGTCTCAGCCGAGGTCACGGAGGCTGTGCACAATCTTTAATGTGTTGCTACTAATGAACAGCTCGGTGTGGAAAAGTTTGATAGATTCATTAAAAATGTGAGGCACAACCAGAAACTCAAAGTTTGAGTTTGAATGTTTCCCAGAGGACTTTTTTTCTGGTTATAAAACCCAGTGGACTTTATTCTTAAAGCTCAAATCTAACCCAGCTCAAAGATCTGAAAGTAGATTTACTTTTTCTTCCAAACGGTTCTTAATTCCCTCCACGGCTGCCACCAGGTCTGATTCAGTCGAAGGGATTAAGTCATGCGGACAAAAAGAGCCTTGTTGACGTTTTTACACGGTTAACGGCGCGTTAGAGAGTCAACAGGAAGTACTGCGAGATATGTGGTTAGAGGTCAGTCCGCACATATTGACAGTAAAGCAAGAAGATGGAACATTTAAAACACGAGTGACTCAGTGACACAGAAGGGGTTAATAAACGCTCTTCAATCAGCACTAACTTCACGCCACCCCTTCGGCGCCCGTTAGGCCAGCCGGTCTAAACTGTCTGGACACGCCCCCCTCTTTGAGGTGAAACTTGTGTTTCGATGGGAACATCAACAGAAAGGTAAATAAAAGATGGCCTCACCTGGTCAATAATGGAGTCCAGCGTGCTGAGAAGCAGGAAGCCCCGCCCCCTGACCAGGTACTCTCCCAGAGCCACCATATGACTCTCCTCCTCGTCCTCTTCGCGTGCCTCTGCTCTCTGAGCGACCGCGCTGCATAGCTGATGGACGTCCGTCAGGAACTCCCTCGCCAGCGTGTTACTCGCCCCACTCATGTCTGAGCTGCAGAGGAGAGAACGAGAACAACAGGAACTCGTTTCTGATTGGTTGAGAACAACAGGAACTCGTTTCTGATTGGTTGAGAACAACAGGAACTCGTTTCTGATTGGTTGAGAACAACAGGAACTAGTTTCTGATTGGTTGAGAACAACAGGAACTCGTTTCTGTTGCCAGCATGCTACTTAATTTGTCAGACTCGGAGTAAAGGTGCGTTGTTATAAATCGTCTTCGTCTCTCAGCTGTTTTCTGACTCGTTTCTTGCTTTGAGGTTTTTCATCACTGATAACTGTTTGTTGGTTTGTAACTCAGGAAGTGGACTGCCACCTCTCCAGCTACCAAACCAACTTCCAGATTTGGTCTGCACCGGGACTTGAACCGGCGACCCTCCGGTTCCCAACCCAAGTCCCTAAAGACTGAGCTACTTCTGTCCCCAGGGGACCTGGAGGGGGACTGTTGGGGGGCTGGAGGGGACTGGAGGGGGACTGGAGGGGACTGTAAGGGGGACTGTTGGGGGGCTGGAGGGGGACTGGAGGGGGACTGGAGGGGGACTGTAAGGGGACTGTTGGGGGGCTGGAGGGGGACTGGAGGGGGACTGTAAGGGGGACTGTTGGGGGGCTGGAGGGGACTGGAGGGGGACTGGAGGGGGACTGTTGGGGGCTGGAGGGGGACTGGAGGGGGACTGGAGGGGGACTGTAAGGGGGACTGTTGGGGGGCTGGAGGGGGACTGGAGGGGGACTGTAAGGGGGACTGTTGGGGGGCTGGAGGGGACTGGAGGGGGACTGGAGGGGGACTGTTGGGGGCTGGAGGGGGACTGGAGGGTGACTGGAGGGGGACTGTAAGGGGGACTGTTGGGGGCTGGAGGGGGACTGGAGGGGGACTGTAAGGGGGACTGTTGGGGGGCTGGAGGAGGACTGGAGGGGACTGTAAGGGGGACTGTTGGGGGGCTGGAGGGGGACTGTAAGGGGGACTGTTGGGGGGCTGGAGGGGGACTGTAAGGGGGACTGTTGGGGGGCTGGAGGGGGACTGGAGGGGGACTGTAAGGGGGACTGTTGGGGGGCTGGAGGGGGACTGTAAGGGGGACTGTTGGGGGGCTGGGGGGGACTGGAGGGGACTGTAAGGGGGACTGTTGGGGGACTGGAGGGGACTGTAAGGGGACTGTTGGGGGACTGGAGGGGGACTGTAAGGGGGACTGTTGGGGGACTGGAGGGGGACTGTAAGGGGGACTGTTGGGGGGCTGGAGGGGACTGTAAGGGGGACTGTTGGGGGCTGGAGGTGGACTGGAGGGGGGCTGGAGGGGGCTGGAGGGGACTGTAAGGGGGACTGTTGGGGGGCTGGAGGGGGACTGTAAGGGGGACTGTTGGGGGGCTGGAGGTGGACTGGAGGGGGCTGGAGGGGGCTGGAGGGGACCTGTAAGGGGGACTGTTGGGGGCTGGAGGGGGACTGTAAGGGGGACTGTTGGGG